AAAGTTTTTTTTACACATTTTCAAATGTAAAAAAACAAAAAAAAGATCTACTTTTTTTACATACTTTCAAATGTTGAAAAAACATGCACCAACAGGGAATACAGTCACAGAAACCCAAGGCAAACGGAAACCAAGCCTGTGCACATACTATGCACTTGGTATCTGCTGGCATGGGAAATCTGGAAAAACAGATGGGACGTGCAACTATGACCACCCTAGAAAATATCATGCCCATATGACAACAGGAAAATGCAAATTCCCTTCATGTAAGCTTTTTCACCCTGAACTATGTACCTCTTCAGTACAGGAAAGACTGTGCTATAACCTAAATTGCCAGGCATACCATCTAAAGGGGACAAAAAGATACAAAACATCCAGGCCATGGGAAAACCTGCGTAGCCACAGCCACTCAAGAGGGAGAGGTTTTTTAGTGCCAGGAAGGAAAAAAAACTGGCAGGAAATGGCAGAAATCGTACACCAAATCCAGTCATTCCTGGAGTGGAACCACAGTCGATGGCCTCCACTCCAAACCAACAGATACAGATACTAATGCCGGAAAAAAAATCCCCCCCCAGTACCAACAATACCACCAGTCCGATAACATTCTTCTTTGCAAATATACAGGGTCTAAAGCCAGCAACAAACAACAAAATACCTTTCATCCGTGGACTGCTTGCAGAGGCAAAGGCAATGTTCGCGGCTTTCACTGAGACCCACATAAAGGATCACTTGGACAACGAAATATGGATCCCAGGTTACAACCTATACAGATGTGACAGTGAACAGGCAAAAGGGGGGGGTTGGCCTGTACATTGCAGAGTCACTTGTTTGCACAAAACTGCTAAATGCCTCAAATGATGTAGTGGAAGTTTTAGCAGTAAAGTCGAGAACCAAAACCTAGTCATTGTGGTAGTCTACAAGCCTCCGGATGCAACATCCCAGCAATTCCAGGAACAGCTGTTAAAAATTGACCACTGTCTGGAAAATCTTCCAGCTCCTGCACCCAACATCTTGCTCCTGGGGATTTCAACTTAAGGCACCTAAAATGGAGGAATATAGCAAATAATATTGTTGCAGTAATAACACCAGGAGGCAGCTCTGATGAAAACTCACACTCACGCGAGCTTTTAAATCTCTGCACAAAATTCAATTTAAACCAGCAAATAATAGAGCCTACTAGACTGGAGAATACACTAGACCTCATCTTCACTAACAATGATGATCTGATAAGAAATGTCACCATATCAAAAACAAAATACTCAGATCACAACATAATTGAGGTTCAGACATGTATGCGCGGAGCCCCAGACCGACATAATGAGATTAGTCACAAGGGAGCATTCACCAAATTCAACTTCAATAACAAAAACATAAAGTGGGACCAAGTAAACCAAGTCCTAACCGATATAAGCTGGGAAGATATACTAAGCAATACAGACCCCAACTTATGCTTAGAACAGATTAACTCGGTGGCACTCGATGTTTGCACAAGGCTTATTCCTCTAAGAAAAAGGAGGAGTAGATGTAAAATAGAAAGAGACAGGCGCTCCCTTTACAGGCGACGGAAAAGAATAACAGAGCGGCTAAAAGAGGTCAATATATCTGAAATGCGTAGGGAGACACTGGTCAGAGAAATAGCAAGCATCGAACTTAAGCTAAAAGAATCCTTTAGGAGTCAGGAATCGCGGGAAGAACTAAAAGCCATAAATGAAATCGAAAGAAAACCCAAAGTATTTCTTCTCCTATGCCAAATCAAAATCGAGAACAACGTCCAGTATTGGGCCCCTACTTAAACAAGATGGGTCCTACACAGATGACAGCAAGGAAATGAGTGAGCTACTCAAGTCCCAATATGACTCAGTTTTAGCAAGCCGCTAACCAGACTGAGAATCGAAGATCAAAATGAATTTTTTATGAGAGAGCCACAAAATTTGATTAACACAAGCCTATCCGATGTTATCCTGATGCCAAATGACTTCGAACAGGCGATAAATGACATGCCCATGCACTCTCCCCCAGGGCCAGACTCATGGAACTCTGTGTTCATCAAGAACTGCAAGAAGCCCCTATCACGAACCTTTTCCATCCTATGGAGAGGGAGCATGGACACGGGGGTCGTCCCACAGTTACTAAAAACAACAGACATAGCCCCACTCCACAAAGGGGGCAGTAAAGCAACAGCAAAGAACTACAGACCAATAGCACTAACATCCCATATCATAAAAATCTTTGAAAGGGTCCTAAGAAGCAAGATCACCACCCATCTAGAAACCCATCAGTTACACAACCCAGGGCAACATGGGTTTAGAACAGGTCGCTCCTGTCTGTCTCAACTGTTGGATCACTACGACAAGGTCCTAAATGCACTGGAAGACAAAAAGAATGCAGATGTAATATATACAGACTTTGCAAAAGCCTTCGACAAGTGTGACCATGGCGTAATAGCGCACAAAATGCGTGCTAAAGGAATAACAGGAAAAGTCGGTCGATGGATCTATAATTTCCTCACTAATAGAACACAGAGAGTAGTCGTCAACAGAGTAAAGTCCGAGGCAGCTACAGTGAAAAGCTCTGTTCCACAAGGCACAGTACTCGCTCCCATCTTGTTCCTCATCCTCATATCCGACATAGACAAGGATGTCAGCCACAGCACCGTGTCTTCCTTTGCAGATGACACCCGAATCTGCATGACAGTGTCTTCCATTGCAGACACTGCAAAGCTCCAGGCGGACATCAACCAAATCTTTCAGTGGGCTGCAGAAAACAATATGAAGTTCAATGATGAGAAATTTCAATTACTCAGATATGGTAAACATGAGGAAATTAAATCTTCATCAGAGTACAAAACAAATTCTGGCCACAAAATAGAGCGAAACACCAACGTCAAAGACCTGGGAGTGATCATGTCGGAGATCTCACCTTCAAGGACCAAAACATTGTATCAATCGCATCTGCTAGAAAAATGACATGATGGATAATGAGAACCTTCAAAACCAGGGAGGCCAAGCCCATGATGACACTCTTCAGGTCACTTGTTCTATCTAGGCTGGAATATTGCTGCACACTAACATCACCTTTCAAGGCAGGTGAAATTGCCGACCTAGAAAATGTACAGAGAACTTTCACGGCGCGCATAACGGAGATAAAACACCTCAATTACTGGGAGCGCTTGAGGTTCCTAAACCTGTATTCCCTGGAACGCAGGAGGGAGAGATACATGATTATATACACCTGGAAAATCCTAGAGGGACTAGTACCGAACTTGCACACGAAAATCACTCACTACGAAAGCAAAAGACTTGGCAAACGATGCACCATCCCCCCAATGAAAAGCAGGGGTGTCACTAGCACGTTAAGAGACCATACAATAAGTGTCAGGGGCCCGAGACTGTTCAACTGCCTCCCAGCACACATAAGGGGGATTACCAACAGACTCCTGGCAGTCTTCAAGCTGGCACTGGACAAGCACCTAAAGTCAGTTCCTGATCAGCCGGGCTGTGGCTCGTACGTTGGTTTGCATGCAGCCAGCAGCAACAGCCTGGTTGATCAGGCTCTGATCCACCAGGAGGCCTGGTCACAGACCGGGCCGCGGGGGCATTGACCCCCGGAACTCTCTCCAGGTAAACTCCAGGTAATACGTTTGGACCTTTTTTTTTTTTTTTTTTTAACAAGTCGGCCGTCTCCCACCTGAGGCAGGGTGACCCAAAAAAGAAAGAAAATCCCCAAAAAGAAAATGCTTTCATCATCATTCAACACTTTCACCACACTCACACATTATCACTGTTTTTGCAGAGGTGCTCAGAATACAACAGTTTAGAAGCATATACGTATAAAGATACACAACATATCCCTCCAAACTGCCAATATCCCAAACCCCTCCCCCAAAGTGCAGGCACTGTACTTCCCATCTCCAGGACTCAAGTCCGACTATATGAAAATAACCGGTTTCCCTGAATCCTTTCACTAAATATTACCCTGCTCACACTCCAACAATCGTCAGGTCCCAAGTATCATTCATCTCCATTCACTCCTATCTAACACGCTCACGCACGCCTGCTGGAAGTCCAAGCCCCTCGCCCACAAAACCTCCTTTACCCCCTCTCTCCAACCCTTTCGAGGACGACCCCTACCCCTCCTTCTTTCCACTATAGATTTATATGCTTTCCATGTCATTTTACTTTGATCCATTCTCTCCAAATGACCAAACCACCTCAACAACCCCTCTTCTGCCGTTTACGGGTTAAAAAAAAAAATTCATAAAAATTCTTTGCTTGTCTCCAGTTTCCAGCAACATAACCTACGTATTATGAGAGGTTTTACTGTATATTCAATAATATAAATTGAAAAAGAATATTTTACTATTTTATATAAATATAAATAGAAAGAGGAAGTGAATGTGTTCAGATATATGGGAGTGCACTTGTCAGTGGATGATTCTATGAAAGATGAGGTGAACCTTAGAACTAACAAGAAGTAAAAAAAGGTGGGTGGTGTACCAAGACATTTGTGGAGACAAAGAATGTTGTCCATGGAGGCAAAAAGGGAAATGTATAAGAGTATAGAGGTACCAACACACCTATGTGGGTATGAAGAATGGGCTTTAAACATTGCAGCAAGGAGGAGGCTGGAAACAGTGGAGATGTCGCATCTGAAGGCAATGAGTGGTGTGAATACTGTGCAGAAAATTCATAGTTTGGAGATTAGAAAGAAGACCTGGGTTACCAAAAGCATTATCCACAAAAATGAGGAGGGGTTACTGAGGTGGTTTGGACACTTAGAGAGGAAGGAGCAGAACAGGATGACATGGAGGGAGGATAAATCCATATTAAAGGGAAGGAGGGGGTAAGGGTTATATATGGAAAGGCTGGAGGGAAGGGGTCCAGGAGGTTTGGTCTGTGAGGAGAATGGACATCCAACAAGTGTGTGAGCAAGTCAGATAGGAGTGGAGGCAAGTGGCTTTTATGACATATAAATGATGAATCCTAATAAGTTATACTTACTCCAACCATGTATTCATTTATAGTAGCAATGCTGATGCCTCTATCCTCTTTCAAATACCTAACTAATCGAACATAATCACAGTAGTCAGGAATATACACCATGGTGTGAAAACGCATAGTTGATCGAAACTGTGGAAGCAACTCTTGAGTAAAGTAGTGGAATCTAGTGTCTGGATCCCTCATCCCTGCTATGCGACTGAGAACAAGCTCAGCTTGAACCACAACTTCTTGCACAGAGCCAATCTCCACAGGATTTAATACCTGTAATTAATAATTTTATATAACAACTTATTAAGATTCAATAAAAATAAACCCTTGTATGGCTTATACAATGCATGTAACTTAAAATGTATGATACTGCCACCTACTGAGATGTGCTACAGTATATCTCACATTTTTTTTTTTTTCAACAAGTCGGCCGTTCCCCACCGAGGCAGGGTGACCCAAAAAGAAATAAATCCATAAAAAAGAAAATACTTTCATCATCATTCAACACTTTCACCTCACTCTCACACAATCACTGTTTTTGCAGAGGTGCCCAGAATACAACAGCTTAGAAGCATATACATATAAAGATACACAACATATCCCTCCAAACTGCCAATATCCCAAACCCCTCCTTTAGAGTGCAGGCATGGTACTTCCCATTTCCAGGACTCAAGTCCAGCTATATAAAAATAACCGGTTTCCCCGAATCCCTTCACTAAATATTACCCTGCTCACACTCCAACAGCTCGTCAGGTCCCAAATATCATTCGTTTCCATTCACTCCTATCGAACACACTCACGCACGCTTGCTGGAAGTCAAAGCCCCTTGCCCACAAAACCCCCTATACCCCTCCCTCCCAACCTTTTCGAGGATGACCCCTACCCTGCCTTCCTTCCCCTTTAGATTTACACACTCTCCATGTCATTCTACTTTGATCCATTCTCTCTAAATGACCAAACCACCTCAACAACCCCTCTTCAGCCCCCTGACTAATACTTTTATTAACTCCACACCTTCTCCTAATTTCCACACTCCGAGTTTTCTGCATAATATTTACACCACACATTGCCCTTAGACAGGACATCTCCACTGCCTCCAACCTCCACCTCACTGCAGCATTTACAACCCAAGCTTCACACCCACATAAGAGTGTTGGTACCACTATACTTTCATACATTCCCTTCTTTGCCTCCATAGATAACGTTTTTTGTCTCCACATATACCTCATCGCACCACTCGCCATTTTTCCCCTCATCAATTCTATATTAACCTCATCCTTCATAAATCCATCCGCTGACACGTCAACTCCCAAATATCTGAAAACATTCACTTCTTCCATACTCCTCCTCCCCAATTTGATATCCAATTTTTCTTTATCTAAATCAATTGATACCCTCATCACCTTACTCTTTTCAATGTTCATTTTCAACTTTTTACTTTACAAACACTCCCAAACTTGCCCACTAACCTTTGCAATTTTTCTTTAGAATCTCCCATAAGCACAGTATCATCAGCAAAACGTAACTGTGTCAATGCCCATTTTGTATTTGATTCCCCATAATTTAATCCCACCCCTCTCCCGAACACCCTAGCATTTACTTCTTTTACAACCCCATCTATAAATATATTAAATAGCCATGGTGACATTACACACTGCTGTCTAAGACCTACTTTTACTGCGAAGTAGTCTCCCTCTCTTCTACACACCCTAACCTGAACCTCAATCTTCTTTCTTTCAACACACCGGCCGTATCCCACCGAGGCGGGGTGGCCCAAAAGGAAAAACGAAAGTTTCTCCTTTTACATTTAGTAATATATACAGGAGAAGAGGTTACTAGCCCCTTGCTCCCGGCATTTTAGTCGCCTCTTACAACACGCATGGCTTACGGAGGAAGAATTCTGTTCCACTTCCCCATGGAGATAAGAGGAAATAAACAAGAATAAGAACTAGAAAGAAAATAGAAGAAAACCCAGAGGGGTGTGTATATATGTGCTTGTACATGTATGTGTAGTGGGACCTAAGTGTAAGTAGAAGTAGCAAGACGTACCTGAAAACTTGCATGTTCATGAGACAGAAAAAAGGACACCAGCAATCCTACCATCATGTAAAACAATTACAGGCTTTCGTTTTACACTCACTTGGCAGGACGGTAGTACCTCCCTGGGCGGTTGCTGTCTACCAACCTACTACCTAGGTTGAACCTCAATATCCTCATAAAAACTCTTTACAGCATTTAGTAACTTACCACTTATTCCATATACTTGCAACATCTGCCACATTGCTCCCCTATCCACTCTAACATATGCCTTTTTCTAAATCCATAAATCCAATAAAAACTTCCCTACCTTTATCTAAATACTGTTCACATATATGCTTCAGTGTAAACACTTGATCTACACATCCCCTACCCACTCTAAAATCTCCTTAATCATCCGCAATCCTACATTCTGTCTTAACTCTAATTCTTTCAATAATAACTCTACTGTACACTTTTCCTGGTATACTCAGAAAACTTATTCCTCTATAATTTTTACAATCTCTTTTGTCCCCCTTCCCTTTATATGAAGGGACTATACATGCTCTCCGCCAATCCCTAAGTACCTTCCCCTCTTCCCCTGTTTGATAGGAGTGAATGGAGACAAATGGTTTTTAATACTTGACGTGCTGTTGGAGTGTGAGCAAAGTAACATTCATGAAGGGGTTCAGGGAAACCGGCAGGCCGGACTTGAGTCCTGGAGATGGGAAGTACAGTGCCTGCACTCTGAAGGAGGGGTGTTAATGTTGCAGTTTAAAAACTGTAGTGGAAAGCACCCTTCTGGCAAGACAGTGATGGAGTGAATGATGGTGAAAGTTTTTCTTTTTCGGGCCACCCTGCCTTGGTGGGAATCAGCCAGTGTGATAATAATAAAAATAAAAAAAAATTAAACAAAAATACCAACCACTCCAACACTATATATTCCCCCAGCTTTTAACATTTCTATCATGATCCTGTCAGTTCCAGCTGCTTTACCCCCTTTCATTTTACATAATGCCTCACACACCTCCCCCATACTACATCCTGTTCTTCTTCACTCTTAAAAGATGGTATACCTCCCTGGCCAGTGCATGAAATTACCACCTCTCTTTCTTCGCCGACATTTAAAAGTTCCTCAAAATATTCTCGCCATCTACCCAATACCTCCATCTCCCCATCTACTAACTCCCCTACTCTGTTTTTAACCGACAAATCCATTCGTTCCCTAGGCTTTCTTAACTTAACAGTGCCTCTCCCACTATCATCTGCTCTCCTTTTGCACTCTCTCTCACCACTTTCTTCACCTTTCTTTTACTCTCCATATACTCTACTCTTCTTATAACACTTCTGCTTTGTAAAAACTTCTCATACGCTAATTTTTTCTCTTTTATCACACCCTTTACTTCATCATTCCACCAATCATTCCTCTTTCCTCCTGCACCCACCCTCCTGTAACCACAGACTTCTGCCCCACATTCTAATACTGCATTTTTAAAACTATTCCAACCCTCTTCAACCCCCCCACTACTCATACTTGCACCAGCCCACCTTTCTGATAATAGTTGCTTATATCTCACATAAATTAGAAATATTATGGAATAAATATCAATACAGTACTCTTATTGTGATTAAGGCGACTCAGGAGCTCAAGATATAGCAATTTCTACAAGTGTTTGCTATATTCCATATTCCCAGTGATTGCTTTGTCAACAACTTTGGCCAGTTGAACAATCTATCAATGATATTTGAGAAATCTTGCATTTGCTAAATCTGAACCTAAAGCAATTTATGTCTTGTTATTAACCAAGAATACAATAAAATCAAAATACAAGATTATTTTACATTACCTGCAATTTCCCTGTGAAATTTGTGCATTTGTTAATGAGTGCTCTGTTATGATCTATGTGAGCTGCTGAGAAAAGAACAGTCTGACGATACAGTCGAGAGTATCCATCCAAAGACCACAAACGTATTCGATTAAGGTCGGTATCAAGCATTTGAATGTCACGAGGAGGAAGATTTATAATCTCCATCAATACAAGAACGTGCTCCCAATTTTGCATCATGAAGATATCAGCCTGTAACAAATACAAGAAAAAACAGAATTAGGAATGAAGAAGTACAAAGAGATTATATTTTCCTCCTTTAACCCTTTCAGGGTCCAGAGGCCAAATTTCAAAGTGTGCACCAGTGTCCAAGAATTTTCAAAAAATAATTTTTTAATTTTTTTTCTTATGAAATGGTAGAGAATCTTTTTCTGAAGGTAATAAAAAAAAAAGCATGAAATTTGGCAGAAAACTGACGAAATTATGCTCTCACGAATTCTGATGTGTAAGCGATATTTACGAATTGGTGATTTTGCCAAGTGTGACTCCCATTTTAGGCCAATTACACTATTCCAGTCGACCAAATTCTTAGTTATTTCAGTAGTAGTACTTCTATTCTATTGATTGAGCACAAGAAATTGCCAAATCAACTGTTTCAACTACAAAATAATGTGATCAGAAATTGGTAATTTGGCCAATTTAGTGGAAAGTTCAAAATATCCCAATTTCAAAATAGGGTCCAGAATAAACAATGCAGGCATTCCTGGAACTAAACTAACATTTCCTCTGTTCATTAGTTACGTTTTCAGGCTTCACAAATGAATTCCATTTTGATTTTTTATTCACATAATGAATTTTTATTCAAACCAAAAAATAAAAGATTTATTCTTATGCAATATTGTAATAATCGTATAAATAATATCACCACATTTGTGAACGTATATTAGACCCACCAGCTAGTGTGTATTAGACGTGTGAGGTCATTTGTTTACTCTTGAACATCGACAAAAATTTAACATTTTCACTACTTTGAGCTCAATTTCAAGCCATTTCCAATACTAAAATCAATCAAAATCATCTCCATTTCTATAATATATCTTCTGTTTATCAAATGAGACCAAGAAATCGCAAATACAACCATAAAAAACATAAAAAAAAAACCACTGCAAAGTTGCTGTTTTAATCGAAAATTATGGTCACAGTTTTTTTTTCTCTCATTTTGCACTGTGTGTTGCAGGATTTGTTTTATGTAGTGCACACATACCATATAGATATATTCTCTCATATCTAGGCCCAAATTTACTTCTCACAGCTTATCAGAGTGAGCTGAGCTCATGGCGTAGATCTAGTTTGGACCCTCAACGTAAAGCCGTAGATCTACAGCATGGACCCTGAAAGGGTTAATCAGAGCACAAGCAGGCCCCGCTTTACAGCACTTTACTTTACAGCATTTCGCTAATACAGCAGTTTTCAATTATACCCATTCTTCATTTATTCACATTTCCTACAATATATATATTCACAACTCACTATAAGCCAAGGATGAAAATATTTTAAGGTAAGTATCGTGTGTACTGTTTGTACAGTTTTTAAACCTAACTATATTGCTCACTTAATATATGACAGAGTAAACATGTTATGCATTTGAAAGTGAAAAAAAGGCAATTTCACTTTACAACAGTAGCCCAGAACTTAACCTACTTTATAAGTGGGGCCTTCCTGTTTTCTTTTTTTATTAACACATCAGCCGTTTCCCACCAAGGCAGGGTGGCCCGAAAAAGAAAAACTTTCATTATCATTCATTCCATCACTGTCTTGCCAGAGGCATGCTTACACTACAGTTATAACACTGCAACATTAACACCCCTCCTTCGGAGTGCTGGCACTGTACTTCCCATCTCCAGGAATCAAGTTCTTTCTGCCGGTTTCCCTGAATCCAATCATGAATGTTACCTTACTTACACTCCAACAGCACATCAAGTCCTAAAACTCATTTGTCTCTATTTGCTCCAATCTAACACGTTCAAGCACGCTTGCTGGAAGTCCAAGCCCCTCGCACACAAAACTTCCTTTATCCCCTCCCTCCAACCTTTTCGGGGACGACCCCTACCCCATCTTCCTTCCTCTACAGATTTATACGCTCTCTAAGTCATTCTACTTTGTTCCATTCTCTCTAAATGACCAAACCATCTCAACAGCCCTTTTTCAGCCCTCTGACTAATACTTTTAGTAACTCCACACCTCCTCCTAATTTCCACACTATGAATTCTCTGCATAATATTTACACCACACACTGCCCATAGACACAACTTCACTGCCTCCAGCCGCTTCCTTGTTGCAGCATTTACAACTCATGCTTCTTAGACTTATTTCTATAATATAAAAAACACCACAAATAGTTTAGAGCGAAGTTCTGACAGGTCGTGTTTGTCTGGTCGAATGCCAAGCAAACATTTGACTACCGAGCGATTTTTTTACTGAACAAAGCATTCAAATTCTGAATTGTTTGAGTAGGGAGCTGTTCGAGTACCGAGGTTCCACTATATAGATCTAGAAATATCTTAGAGGGTTAACTGCTGGGGTAATTCAGCTAAAGACACCCTTTCTTTCTTTTACATACCCTACCACATTTCCCTGCCAACCTCTGTAATTTCTCTTCAAATCCCCCAAAAACCCACAGTTCCATCAAAAAAAAAAGTAATTGTGAAAACTCCCACCCCGTTTTAAGATTTTTTACCCTTTTAACCCCAAATCCTCTTGCCAACCCCCTTTTCTTATTTTCCTCACCACCAAACTTTTTAATCCACTTTAAAGTTAAAAAAGCAAGCAGTGTTTCAAAACAGTGCATGATTCTCCAATTAGTCTCTCTTTTCCCCCAATTCAGTTCTCCCAATTCTAAATCCACTTAAGTGCCTGATAAAAAAAAAAAAAAACTTAATGATAAAAATTTAATAGAAAAAAATAAAATAAATAATCGGGTTGAGTATACCTGGTAAAGGGGTATGGTAGAGTTATTTTTGGGAAAAAATTTAAAGGGAAAAGACGGAGAATAGGTTTCAGATAAACCAAGGAGTTTTTAGGAAAGGAGGGGGGGGTGTGGCCCCGGGTTTTTAAACAGTAAAAACATATAATGAACAGTTTTTTAATAAAGGGGGCTAAAGGGGTTTTTTGTGGCATTTAGGGTTTTGGGAAAAGGCTTGACAGGGTGGATGGGGGGCAATGTGGCAGATGTTGCGGGTTTATTTTTGTGGGGAGGTAGGTTTACTGAAAGCATGAAGATTTTTTAAACAGGATATTGGGGCCCTCAATTTTAAAGTATGTAGGAAAGGGGGAAATTTTTTTCCCGAAAAAGTGGGCCATAGACAAGGGTTGATTTTCCACCCTTTGGTTTTTTAAAATATATTTATAGAGGGGGTTTGTAAGAGAAGTAATGCGGGCCCTTGGGGCAAAGGCGTGGAGAAAAAAAGATAAAGAACACACCCCAAAGTGGGATTTTGGTCACATTTTGCTCTTTGCTGTGACACGTCCCTTTTTGGGAGATTCTGAAAGAATTTTGAAGAGATTGGTAAATGAATTTGGAGGGTGGGGCAAAAGAAAAAAATTTAAAGGGGGAATACAGGAAAGGTAAGGTTATGAGGATAAAAAAAAAAAGATTAGGGTGAAAAATTGGATATCAATTGGAGGGAGAGAGAAATGGGGGAGGTGAATGAAATTCAGAAAATTTGGGAGGGGAAACGTGTCCCGGTTGGTCTATGAAAGTTGGGGTTGAATCATAGAATTGATGGGGGAAAAAGGGGGTTTAGGGGTGCACTTGGGAGTCTTTTAGACAAAGAACTTTGTTTTGGAGGCAAAGGGGGAAATTTATGAGAGTATATTTTTTACCAAACGCCCCTTATATGGGTTTTTAAACCAGGGGGTGATAAATGTTGCAGCTGGGGAAAGGGTTTGGAGGCAGGGGAGTTTTCCCAGGGTCTGAGGGAAAATGTGTGGTGTGAATAAATCCCAAAAAAAAATTCCCTTTTTTTTTGGAAGTTAGGAGGAGGTGCGGGTTTACCAAAACTTTTTGTCCAGGGGCCCCTGGGGAAGGGTTGTTGAGGGGGTTCGGGACATGTATAGAGAATGGAGAAAAACAGAAGATTTAAAAGAGGGGATCACCTGAAGTGGAAGGAAGGGGGGTTTTTAAGGGGTGGGCCTGGAAAGGTTGGGGGGAGGGGGAAAGGGGGTTTTTTGTGTGCGGGGGTTTGGGGATTTCCCCACAGGCATGCGTGAGCTGTTTGAGGGGAATTTAATGGGAAAAAATTTTTTTTTTAATACTTGACGTGCGTTGGAGTGTGAGCAAAGAAACATTTGGGAAAGGGTTTTTTTTTTTCGGGAAAAACCCCGGCGGGCCCGGGATTTTGAGTCCTGGAAAATTGGAAATACATTTCCTTTTGCACTCTGAAGGGGGGGTTTTTGTTTTTGGGCGGGTTTTAAAAACTGTAGTGAAAAGGGCACCCTTCGGGGCAAAAACAGTGAGGGAAAGTGAATAAATGGGAAATTTTTTCCCTTTTTGGGGCCCAAACCCTCCCTTGGGGGGAATCGGCCAGTGTATAATAAAAAAATAAAAATAAAAATAATGATGCATTCACAATTACAGGGCAATTAAAAAAATATATGGGTTTGGTAGACAGCAACCACCCAGGGAAGTACAACCTTTCCCGGGCCAGATGACTGTGAAACAAAAACCTGTAAAAGTTTTTGAAGGTGGGATTGCGGGTTTTTTTTTTTTCCTGTCTCATAAAAAAACCCCCTAAGTTTAAACCGGGATATCTTGCTACCCTACTTAAACTTTTGGTAAACACTTCACAGAAAAACCCCACATCCATAATAAATATACATACATCTGGGTTTTTCTCCTTTTTCAAAATAGCTCTTGTTTTTTTTTAATTTTCTTCAAAATTTCCAGGGGGAATTTGGAAAAAAATTTTTTCCTCCGTAAGCCTGCGTGCCCGTATGGGGGCGACAAAAAATCCCGGGGAAAAAGGGGCCTAAAAACCCCTTCTCCTGTTACAATACAAAAAAAAGAGAAGAAGAAAAATTTTAAAAAAACCCTGGGTTGCTTAAATGTCGTGGATTAGTCCCGGATGAAAAGAAACAGATGTTTGGGTAAAGTTATAAAATGAAAAGAAGTTGGATTTCCGGCCCCGAACCAAAACAAAGCTAAAGGGGGGTAGGAGATTTTTCAGTGGGGGAAAAAAAAATGGGTTTAAAAA